AAGTTAGTCGCGGCCGCCGCGATCTGTCAGACTTTCTTTTTGGACCGCGGCAACTCGCGAAGACGGTTACGCTAGTTTTATATATTGAAGTTTAAATACATTTAATGATGGCATTTTGAATTTACTTTATGAGAAAAAAAAAACACATTACGAAGGTCACAATTGTAGTTAAAACTCTTTCATCGACGCTTTCTAAAAGACAATTTTTTTTTCTTTTAGACATTTTCCTAGGAATGTTTTTAAAGCTTTTGTTGGGGGGGGGGGGGGGCAGTGGTCGGGCAAGCATTTTCTAAGAGAAGTGCGCCACTGGTAACATTATCTTATATATATATATATATATATATATATATATATATATATATATATATATATATATATATATATATATATATATATATATATATATATATATATATATATATATATATATATATATATATATATATATATATGAACAATATTTCACTACAAACAGATTGTAAATATTTTGAAATTATAACTATGACCATTTTAAAGAAAGTGTTTGAAATAGAAGGCAGAGAATTAGATGTTTTACTTACGTGTGAAATTTCATTTATCTATATGAATTAGTACTCAAGTTGTAGACTTTTTAAAAAATTAAAAGTAGAAAAATATCCACTGCCTGTTATCGGAAATCGCTCAAAAGTTGATACGGATCAAATTTGATATAATACTTATATATGAAATTTCATCAACCTAGCTATAACGGTACTCAAGTTATCGTGTTTACAGACACACAGACACACAGACACACACACAGACACAGACACACCCACACACACACACACACAGATATACGGGCAAGATTGCAAAACTATGTTTTTCCGACTCAGGGACCCCCGAAACGTCGAGATTTGCAAAAATATGTTTTTTTTTCTACGGTTACTAGATTTTCTCTATATTTCGTTTATACGAGAAAGTAATAAAATGTGTAAGCTAGTGATCTCAGCTGAATAAACTCACTACCTAAAGTAGCAGTAACTTTGCGGTAATTGGTCTCTAAACACGATACGGCTATTGTCTCATATAACATATCATTTTAAAACATACATAATTTGTCCATATTATTACAGATTGATAAAATAATGCCCCCGCCCCCCCCCCCCGGTAGGGTAAATTTGTGTTCCGTATCTTCCGCAAGCATACCTGTAATTTAGTCCGCCCAGGACATGGGCAATTCAAAATTAATTCAGTGGGCGGGGCTTCACTCATGTACTGAGTGCTAAAGATTTTTACAGTTTACGTCCTTACACAAATCTCGCAGGCTTTTTGAGACAGAGGAGAGTTAATCTAATAACACATTGCTACTAGGTAAGAACATTTGATTAGATTAAAGTGATTAAACACAATTAAACACAATGTAAAGACAAACTTGTGCGAAGTGTGTGTGTGCTTAAAAATGTGTTAAATGAGAAGTAAATAAAGATTGTATGGAATTTATTTTCCTTTAAGAAAAAGAAGATTGCTTACACTCATAATTAGATACAGTGTCGTCTTTAGGTGGGTATCTATCTATCTATCTATCTATATATATATATATATATATATATATATATATATATATATATATATATATATATATATATATATATATATATAAATATATATATATATATATATATATATATATATATGTATGAGTGTATGAGTGTATATATGTATAAGCTTTAATATTTTGTAATTTTTTTACCATGGTGTCACCTCCCTAAATGGTGTCACGCGGTGCGGTACGCACCCCCGGCCCCGCCATCGCTACGCCTGTGATTAGATAGGAGAGGAAGGAAATCTAATATATAAAGCTCAATGCTGTATGTAAAAATACATATGTTTGTCGTTGACATACTTTGATTGATTAAAGTGTTAGACTATTATCGTGCGCATTTGTCTAAATTTATGAGTTAAAAAATTATTATTGAAAGTGTTGGGAAATAATTTTCATTTTTCAAACTGATAATAATAATTTTTGGCATGTTCATTAAACACAAGTTTTTAAAAAATATCATCTTTTACAACAATTCTAATTATATCTTTATTTAGTCCTATAGCACTTACTTCCCTTTGATAAATTAGGAAAACACAATTACTTCCCTTTATAAAACCATTGCATTAGTGGAAAAGAATTTACTTTTTATTACTTTGTTTTGGTGTTGGGAAAAAATAATTACATAATTAGCGGGGATTGATCAAGTGCAAATGTTGTAGGTATCTTACTGATAAGCTTGGAGTATTATAATTGTTCATTAAATTGAAACAGGCGCGTTCATTTAAGTGAGTGCAAAGACTATGAATAAGTTGGGGTACTATAGTCGTTCATTAAGCTAAAACAGGTGATTCCGCCCCGGGCGTTTATGTTCGCGTTAGTGTTTTCTTTGTGTTTAGGTGGGTTAGCGTTAGTGGTTGCGTTTTGATTTGGTTCGTTTTTGTTCTTTCTTTTTTCGTTTTTGTTTGTGTTTTTTTCTTTGGGTTTGTATTTGTGTTTTTGGTTGGTTTTGCGTTTGGATTTGGTTTGTTTTCGTTTGCTTTTTCGTTGTTTTTTTTTGTGTTGGTATTGGTGTTTGTGGTTGTGGTTGGGTTTGTTGTTAGGTTTTTGTTTTCGTTTGCTTTTTTGTTTGTTTTTTCTTTGTGTTTGTATTGGTGTTTGTGGTTGTGGTTGGGTTTGTTGTTAGGTTTTTGTTTTCGTTTGTATGTGTTATTGTGTTAGCGTTATGTTTGCGTTTTGTTGTTTTGGTTTTGGTTGGTTGTGGTTTGGGTGGGCAATGCCGGGTTTATGATGATTACTAAACACACAGGTGATGGTCTTTAACAGAAAGGTTTTTCACAGAGGCCAGAGCAGGGCCTGGCCGGGACGGCTAGTACTAAAATATAAAGCACTTATTTTCTACTCTATTCTAGGCCTAAACAGTTGGAATTGAATAGAATCGCGTAGAAAGAATTGCTTACACAAAAATTCAAAATATTTATGTTTTTGAGAAATCGAAATAATTTAAAGTAGGGGCCTACTGTTTTCCGTCACCTAATATTACTTTAAAGTTTAACATAATCAAAATAATAAGATCATTTATGTATTTTTGAAGTTTATTCTACCTAGATCAATCGGTACCAAATTATCAGTATTTTAGAAACCAGATTTAGAATAAAGTACCACTTCCAGTTATCGATAGTCATTCAATATTTGAAAGTACAAAAAGGGACGGAGTGGTCTTTTGGTAGAGAGCTGAATAGCTAACCCGTAAGTATCGAGTTCAAATCTGGGTTCAAGTCAGTAGACCGTCCCTGAGTCCACCCAACTCTGAGGGTTACCTAACTCACGTTAGAGAACGTAAAGGCGGCTGGGCATAGTGCTGACCACACTATCTCTTCATATGCCGAGGTCACAGAAACAAGTGGACTCTAATTCACTTGCCCTATAGACCGTGAGGTTTGAAAAGGGAGCTTTACTTTTACAAAATGTGTAATATTTTAGACTTATATATACGAGATTTCGTCCGTCTTACTAACAAGGTACTCAGTGTATCGGTATTTTAGAAACTAGAAGTAGAATAAAAGTACCACTTACTTCCTGTTATCGCAGTTTACGAAAACATTTGAAAATCATTCAAAAATAGCACTTATGTATGAAATTATGTCTAGCTCCCGGAAACTACTCGTTTTCAGACGGAAATATAGTGAAGTACCACTTTCGGTTGTTCAAATGTCGAAAGAAAAATGCGCATCAAATTTTATTGCTAACATGTTAATTAAATTTACTACAAAATGTCTGTTCACATGACCATATAACATGAAGAGCAGACACGCATCGATCTATTCCTTTCAGTTGATCTCCATTTTAGTGCTTTACTTGTAATCAAAACATTTTGTATGCATTTTTTAAACGGAATAAGATCACGCAGAAAAAAGAATTGAGCACCTAATGTGTGAGTATTATAGAGCGTAAAATGTGTACTTTCTAATGCAAATATTAATTGCCTTTTTCGGGAAAACAGAAACAGCGTAAAGTATTACTTAAGGACACCGGGAATCTTTAAATGTTAGAAATAAAATTATGAAAAACATAATATACTTATGTATGAAATTTCGTTTAGCTAACAGAAACAATACTCACATTATTGGGTATTTTAGTTTTTTGGAAACAAAAAATAGAGATGTAAGTTTAAGTGATGCAAGTATAAAAGTAAAAGTTTTTATTTATCTGTAAAATATCGTATACATAATTGAAAAATTTCTGAAGTAATCGTGCTCACATGGAAATAGTGTAAAGCACAATATTGTAATTCAAAAGTTCATAAAACCTGTTCAAACTAGAACAATATTATTTACATATTACCTATATATCAAAATTTGTCAACAAAACTTAAACTGTACTCCAGCTATCGTTGTCACACACCCACCCACACACCCCCACAAGCATGCACGCGCACTCTCACACACACACACAGACAGAGAGGAAACAGGATTGCAAAACTTTCTTTTTATGGCACTGAAGGTCGCAAAACGTATAGCAAAATCACGATTTAGATTATTTCACGATAGCCATACATTTTTTTTTCGAGTATGATATTAATAAAGTAGGGTAATGCAAAACGTCGAAAACTGTCAAAATTTAATTTAACTTATGTGCATGAATACAATACCTCTCTCTATTTAATCTGTGAACTAGAAATGTAAACATTAGCTGTAACTGAACTTTTAAATAAATTGCTATCACAATAACTACTATTTTGTATACCTGCAGTTGATATAAATGAACTTCAGATCACAACGGAACAAACTAACATAAAGAAAAATAACACGAAAATCAAAAACCCAACACACATTTTTGCGCTCAACGAAACAAACACATGTTTATTTAATTATCTTTATTGATTTCTAGTACCAATATTTAATTTATAGATGATAATTAATCCTTGTACAATGACACCAGCTTTAGCATTTAACTATTTTTAGTTGGGCTGTAAAGCTACATCTAGATTATCAAGGGTCTTTGTCAACTGGCGCGTTAGATTCAATTATTCAGAAATACAAAGATGGCAAGTTTATCAAGACGATGTCAAATAGGTGTTCTCGTGTTGCTGGTGTTGGTGCTAACAGTGAGGCTTAGCTCGAACAACTGGGTGGTGAGTGGCTAATTACATTTTTGTGCGACTGAATGGGGTGTGCATCGATAACATTGTTGGCAACTGATTTGTGAGTGAATCAGTAACAATGTGGGCAACAGGGTGTTAGTAAATCAATAGCATTATTGACATTTAAAAATCAACTAGAAATGCTTTTGAAATACTTTAAATTGCAGATATACGTCTTTTACACCCAGAATTACACTCAATAAAATGTATACTGTAACTTACTAAAATATTATTTGAGATGCTTGGATCATGAACAAAATAACTTAAAGTAAACGATTTAAAATTTAAACACTTACTTTGAGAATAAATTTAAAAAGAACAATTTTTCTACATTAATGAAAAATACTTCTTGAATTATTAACATGTAAATAATGCACGAATTAACTGTAAATGTCATTTTCCCTTGGACTACACCACTTAGAAGGGAAATTACAGAATGTATATTTAAGCAGAAAATATATAGAAAGTAAATAAAATTGTAGCATAGAAATTCAATACATTTTGTAGTTAAAAACATAGACTTACTATTAGTTAGGGGTTATTGACTAACATTATGTGAGGGTGACGATAAAATACGACAGAAAGATACTTTTATTTACTGTTATATATATATATATATATATATATATATATATATATATACTATTTTACACAGGTAAATGTTTTTGGCTATAAACAACCAAAAGAAGTTGTTATTAATCAAATTGAATTGAGAAGTGAAACTAAAACATTCCAATCAAACGCACAAGATTCCGTAGAAGCAACAGTTCTAATTCCATCAACAACCGAAAAGCTACCTACACCTACTAGTCGTACAAGCCCTTTTACTCGTGTGTCGAATGAAGAAATTTACATCTACTCGGCCATCGCTAACATCGAATACGTGGACAAGAAAAAGCAGCTGGAAAATAAACAAATTGCCAGCTTTGACGCAGAGCTGATTCTGACAACGATGGACGCCACTAAACAAGGCTATAACTGCTGCGTCATTTACCACGACTCCGAGTCCGTGACTCTGACTTTATCGCCGGCTTCTTACTACCTGAGAGAGTATATTGTGGGCGGACCGTCCAATGAAAAACTTTATGTCGCACGGCAGTATGTTTGTCGTGGTACAGTTACTTCCGTAAACAACATGCCTGAGTATGTAACCTTGACATCAAGTTCAAAGTGCCCAACGGACCAGAAAAACTTTCTGAAAGTTCTGTACCCAACAAAACAACCTGGGATTGCACTTTGTGGTAAAATAGCTCACAGTGGAGGAATTGATCCCCAGAAAGCCATTGAATGGTTTGAGATGCAAAAACTTCTGGGAGTTGATAAAATTCTGATCTACGACTTGGGAAATCCTGAAGGTTTAACTCGAGTGTTTAGACATTACCAACAGGAAGGGATTCTAGACTTGCAGCCTTACGAGCTTATAGGAGAGCCCAAAACTCGAACACTTTCAGAAGCCTACAAGCGTACTGCACAGTTTAATTATGACGAAACGTTGTCGGTCCTGGAGTGTAGGCATCGAATGGCGGGATACGATTACATCATAAGTCATGATGTTGACGAAATGATCATTCCACGCAAGGAAGTAGATTTTAAAACTTTCTTTCAGGTTAGTTTAGTAAATATTTGCCTATAACATTATTATAATATCAAGCCCCCCTCCACCATTTCTCAATATATCAAATCCCCCCCCCCCCAGTACCCACACTAAGGAACTACATTTTGACAAAAAGCATTTTAAAATATATACTCAATGTGACAAAAGAACAGCTAACGATATTTCTATAGTAAAGTCTCTTCCCATACATCTCTCTCGAATCAATTTGGTAATATATAAAAAAACATAGATTATATCTGGGCATTGTTATTTGCACCGACAAAGTAGGAAACTTCACTCAATCAAAAACGATCTACTCTGTCTAACAAAGAAACACAAACACAACCATACAAACACCACTCTAAAACTATCTGCTCTGTTGAACAAAACAAAACATACACAACCACACACACACCAATCCAAAACTATCTACTTTGGTGAACAAAAGAACACACACATACACATAAAAGCAACATATACACAACCACAACCACACAAGCACACACCACACTAAAACTATCTACTCTGTGTATAAAAGGAACACACACACACACACACCAAACTAAAACTATCTACGCACTAAGAAAAGGAACAAACACACACACACACAACCACACATACTTACACACACACCACATATAAATACAAACACCAATCTAAAACATTCTACCATGTGTAACAAAGAAACACACTCTACACGCACAAACATAAACACACACCAATCTAAAACTATTTATTCTATGTAGCAAAAGAACACAGACATACAACAACACACCAAACACAAACGCACACCAATCTAAAACTATGTACTCTCTGTAAAAAGGAACAATTATACACACACACCGACAAACACACACTAATCTAAAACTATCTACTTTGTCTAACAAAGGAAAAATGGTCCCAGCACCCGACTGCTTCAGCACTTTTCTTCCACACGGAGTTTTTCCTCACTACCTGGCCAGCTAGCAATCCTGAAGAACAACTTATGGTCAAACGGTTCAGGTAAGTCGATGGCCCCGTGTAAACCAAGTTCGTAGGATTAGGTCAGCGATGCATCTAGGAGCTAAATTATAAAATCGCACATTAAGTCTATTTAAGCGAGTCCAGTATGAAGAAATAAAGTACACAATGTATAATTGCTAACGTTCTTTTGCAATATCCGCAGTGTTTTTAAGGTTGCTAAACTCTTTCGCAATAAGAAACAAACTTGCAAAATTGTTTATTTCAGACATATTCGTAGAAAATGTATTGCGCATTTGTATGTGCTTTTGTGTTTTAAGTGAGCTGAGAATTGGCAAAAAAAAACATTAAATGGATGTAAAAGAAGAAATAATAATTGTCAATAATTCGCCTCATTTTTCGTTTTTCTTTAAGCTAGCAAGTTTCAGTCAATCTTTCGTACGTTCGTTCGTTCGTTCGTTCGTTCGTTCGTTCGTTCGGTCGGTCGGTCGGTCGGTCGGTCGGTCGGTCGGTCGGTCGGTCGGTCGGTCGGTCGGTCGGTCGGTCGGTCGGTCGGTCGGTCGGTCGGTCGGTCGGTCGGTCGGTCGGTCGGTCGGTCGGTCGGTCGGTCGGTCGGTCGGTCGGTCGGTCGGTCGGTCGGTCGGTCGGTCGGTCGGTCGGTCGGTCGGTCGGTCGGTCGGTCGGTCGGTCGGTCGGTCGGTCGGTCGGTCGGTCGGTCGGTCGGTCGGTCGGTCGGTCGGTCGGTCGGTCGGTCGGTCGGTCGGTCGGTCGGTCGGTCGGTCGGTCGGTCGGTCGGTCGGTCGGTCGGTCGGTCGGTCGGTCGGTCGGTCGGTCGGTCGGTCGGTCGGTCGGTCGGTCGGTCGGTCGGTCGGTCGGTCGGTCGGTCGGTCGGTCGGTCGGTCGGTCGGTCGGTCGGCCGATCGATCGGTCGGTCGGTCGGTCGGTCGGTCGGTCGGTCGTTTTTTTGGTCGGTCATTCTGTCAATCTGTCAATCACTCAATCCTACAACCCGCCAATCAGTCTTTTATCCATATCGTATCCATAATCACTAAACTACGCCTAATATCTATAATACAATAATGTAAAGTCGGAATTCTACATTAACGAGCATTTTAATAAGCAATTTGTAAGAAATAAAGTAACTTTACTCCTCAAATGAATGTGCCTAAATGGTTTTAGCAAACACGTTTTTAGAATTGTGTAACAAATCGTACTAAATTTAGGACAACTATAAATTGTGAGTACCTGTAGTAATTAAGGCATTTTGTACCATCTGTCAGGAACACGACGGTGCCACGTTGGGAGTGCTACAAGTACGTGTACCAGCCGTCACGTGTCATCACGTCAATTACTCACACTGTGTTCTCCAAGCCTGGCTTCGGCAAGTGAGTTTTTTTTTCTATATATCCGTAGGCTGAGTTTCAATATTTTAATTGTTATCGATTTCGCTTACGTGAACTTTAATTTTTTATATTGAATTAGACAACCCAGTTTCCAGAACTGAAAAAGTCTATCAGCTGCGCAACACAACTCAAAGGAATAAGGCAATATGCCCACCCCACCATTTAACCTCAAATGAATACTTACTTTTTGGCTCAAACTCTTGCATGATACCATTGGGACATCCACACACTAATGACGTCCATCTTGGATAGGAGAGGGGGGGGGGGGTCATTGTGAAGTCGAGTTATGTGGACACTTGCAGAATGGGGGCGGTGGTGATGGCAGTGGTGATGGCAGTAGGATGGCTAACTTTTACGATTTAAACTAGCCATCCCGGCCAGGCCATGCACTGGCCTCTATGAAAAACCTATAAGTAAAGACCATGATATGTGTGTTTAGTAATCAGTATTTACCCGGCATTGCCCACCCTAACCACAAGCAATCAAAACCAAAACACAAAAAACATAACACAAACCCAACCACAAACGCAAACACAAACGCAAACACAACCCCAACCACAAACGCAAACACAAACAAAACACAAAGAAACACAAATGCAAACATAAACGCAAAGTACTCACAGTCTAGCCCGGGGTGACAAATTGCACCATGCTGGGGCACGGCGGAACCGCCTGTTTCAGTTTAGTAAACGACTATATTACACAAACTTATTGATAGTCTGTTGCACTTACTTAAACGAACGTAAGCGCCATAGCGAACACGGGAAGGCCCGGGCGCAAAATAGTACCATGTCAGGGAGCCGAAAGACCCCCTGATTTAATTCACTTAAAGACTATAGTAACCTTTCTTATCCATAGTCTATCGCGCTGATTAAAACGAAAGTATGCACCATATCGCTTACAGGATAGCCCAGGCAGAGGCGTAGCGACACTTCACGGCGCCCGGGGACAACCTTTCGATTTGGACCCCCCCCCCCCTCGAACTTTTCATTTGCAGCCCCCCCCCCCTCAATCTTTCGATTTGCACCCCCCATCGAACTTTTCATTTACACCTCCCTCAAACTCGATTTGCACCCCCATCGAACTTTTCATTTACACCTCCCTCAAACTCGATTTGCACCCCCTCCTCGAACATTTCATTTGTACCCCCCCCCTCAAACTTTCAATTTTGCGCCCCCCTAAGGTCGGCGCCCGGGGACAGATGTCCCCCCCCCCCAAGCCCCCCCCCCCTCGCTACGCCTCTGAGCCCAGAACGCCAAATCGAACCCTGCGGTTGGGCCTGTTTAAATTTAGTGAACAATTATAATACCCCAAGCTTATCCGCAAACGGAAAAAGTAAACATAGAGTACATTTAGGAGCTGTTACTGATTTAAAAAATAATAATTAGTAAACAGTATGTTCAGTGTACAAAATAAATAAAAGGCAGTTTTTAAAATACCTACAACATGGCACTTGACATGAGAACACGTCTTTAATAATTTGCATGAAACGGTCTGTATTTGTATGCCTTCAACCCTAAAAATTACCTTTAACCCCAGCGCCAACATACAACCGACTGACGCCATCCTCCACCACTACAGGCAGTGCCCAGAGGACACCTGGAAGACCTGCAGCGTACCGTCCAAAATTGATGACGTCATGACTAGGTACAAGGATCTGGACCAGAAGGTCGTCAAGGTCAGGGAAGCGACGTCCACACAACCAATATATAAAATTATCAAATAAAATCTAAGACACACAATATAACATTGAAACCATTAAAGAAAATGACATATACTTAACTCTATATTTCGGAAGGCCACAAAAGCTCAAATAAAAAAACAAAGTCAACACAAACTCAATGAATAACATTTGATTTAAGTTTTACCATATATTTTAGTGTGTCCAACTAGATAATCATTGAATAAAAAAAAACATTTAACAGCTAAATATAAGACGATCCATTGCTAAGTTAAGGCTTTTTTATATTAGTAAACTACCTGACTTACTTACAATTTTTTTCCAAATCAACTGGGTAATTAATATTTGGAATAATATCCTCAATCAAAACACCATCCTTTGCTAACACCGCTATCAATGCATTGAACCTTACAAAAACAAACATATATATCAATTTGCTTTAAGACCCTTTTATTTTCTTATCATAAATATTGTCGTCTACTTCTTTTATTTCATCTCCTTTCAGCTTTTTTATGTAAAGAAAAATGTTAGATAAATTATTATTATATTATTTGTTTGAATATTTCAAGACTTACTAAAAAAACAAAGGTCATTTTGTACTTATTTTTGAAATGTTATAAAATTTTCCATTTTGGCTGTAATATTTGCTAAACATGTAGAGAATGATTCTAACTTAATTTTTAATTTTGACAATACAACACATATACACGATAATGCTAATAATAATAACTACAAAAAAACTCAAATATAACAAAACGCAAACACATATACAAACACAAACGAAAACACAAAAAAATCAAATGAAAACAAACCTAAACCTAAACCTAAACCCGAACGCAAATCCAAAATCAACCATAAACGTAAACCCAAACCCAAACGCAAAGAAAACACAAACGCAAACATAAACACAAAGTGCTCACAGTCTAGCGCGGCGGAACCGCCTAATTCAACTTAGTAAATGACTATAATACCCAAGCTTATTCGTAGTATTTTTCACTCACGTCAACGAACATAGGCGCCATTGCTGACACAGGAAGGCCCGGCGCCAAATAACACCATGTCGGGACGCCGAATGACGCCTGGATTCGATTCGATTTTAGTAACTTTTCTCATCAACAGTCTATCTTACTGTTTAAAACGAAGTAATGCACCATATTGCTCACAAGATAGCCCAGAGCGCCAAATCGAACCATGCCCGGGCGACAGCGGACGCGCCTGATTCAATTTAGTGAACGACTATAATATCCCGAGCTTATCCGCAAACGGATAGAGGTAAACAAAGGGGATATTTAGGAGCGGGCCTCTAAACTGTTATTGATTTGTTTAAAATAATTAGTAAACAGTACGTTCAGTGTATAAAATTAATAAGGCAGTATTTAAAATATCTGTGTTCTACTTACGCCATTTGACTTGATCAATCCACACTAATATGTATTTTCTTCCCAACACCAAAACAAAGTAATAAAAAGTAAATCACCCCCCCCCCATTTAACGGTTTTTTTTAAAGGGAAGCTATTGTTTTTTCCTAATTTTTCAAGGGACGTAATCAGTGCTAAAGGATTAAATGAATAATTTTCAAACACAAATAAAAATTTTGTGATGGGTGATACATTATCTTTAATTTTCTTTAATACACATGCCGTCTATTAACAATGTAATTTAAAAAAAAAATGAAATGTGTTTTATAACACCTTCAATACTAATTTGTATATCATTAAATTAGACGAAGAGTACTTTGAAGTCTATTTTTTTTATCTTCTATTCCTTTGTAATCGCGGATCCGCTATCCACGGTCACATACTCAATTGAACTTCATATATTAGACGAAAATTAAATGAAACTAGAAGAGAAAGACATTTTGTGGTTGGGAATAATGGTACAAGCAACGTGGTCTTGAGTTGAATTAATGGTCCTAATAGCCTCTTGCTTACTTAGCAATTAATACAATTTGGAAACATGCTACCTTGAACTGACTAGCTCTATGTTAATTCGTTGGTTTGATCTTTGTTCAGTGATCGTTTTTTTTTTTACTTAGATCAGTAGACCGAGACACATCTGATACATTTCACACAAAATTTATGATTCTGCCCGACTTGTCACACAAGGAACCTACTATCGAACGACTGAATGGGCCCCCAGCAGAAAATCATTAATGCTTCGTTTCAAATTGGCAGTTACGGCCTCTTCAATATTAATGTTTTTGATGATCTTATAATTGCATTGGTATGTCAATAAAAATGTTCATTCGGCCGTGTTGTCAAAAGAGGAATGGCCCGTACCTACTACAAGGCTTATCGTACACGCTAGAACAAGTAAAATAAGTTAGGAAAGGGGTTAGAGGGGGGGGGGGGGGTAATTGTGGCACGTACTACCCTGGCGAACATGTTGGGACATTGATGTTTTTATATACCATACCATAGCTTTTAAACCTTTGTGCTTAATGTGTCTATTCCTTTATAAAAAATATTCTGTTAAATATATTAATCACGTAGAACAATATGAAAAGATTTCCAAGATTTTAAAACTAATTCAATTCGCTTTCATTTTTATCAGTGATGATTTTAACAAAGGTATACACACCTAACACTTAATTACGCTTTTTAAAAGCATATACGAAAAATAAAAAAATAAATTAAAAAATAAGTAAAAAAAAAGAACATGTAATTATAAACTTTAAGTCTGACGCTCGATTTGTAGAAACGCCGACGTCCCTTCTTTTGGCTAGAGGCCCCCTCTTTTCAGTCCCTCGGTTTTTAAGTGCCCATTGATTTCGACGTTAACGCCAGGGCCTTGTATCGTGACACAACACCCAAGTGTCTGGGACGTGTTCGGACAAGGAACATCTCCCAGGGCGGGTAGTATAATGTACTAGAGGGCAACAAAAGCCTAGGTCCGCCACGGTTGGGAACACGCCAGAGGGTAGTATTGGTGAAGCCTTTATGTGACGCTAGGATCCGTGCTATCTCGACTTCTCTTTCTTAATGTCCGTGTTCGGCACTCAGTCGTTAAATTACACAACCGTGACTAACAGCTACTCCGCTGTTACTTGTTTAATTGCGCGTACGATTGTATTCAACCCTGTTATTTCTTATATGGCTACAGTGGCGTAGCGAGGGGGGGGTGGGGGTGGGGACCGCACCGTGAGACACCATTTAGGGGGGTGACCAATGAAAAAAAATGAAAAAAGAATAAGAGAAAAATTATAATTTTACTTAATTAAGTAATTAATTCGAGTGTTAAATAGTCTTTTTAAAGTGCAAATAAAAAAGTTTGAAGGTGGGGGGGGGGGGGGGGGGGTGCAAATCGAAAGTTTGAGGGGAGGCTGTGCAATTTGAAAGTTTGACGGGGGTTGCAAATCAAAAATTGAAATTTTGTCCTCGGGAAGGGTCGCTGCGCCTTTAGGGAATGACACCATTAAGTGCCGCACCGGTTGAAACCCGACATCGCTACGCCACTGTATGGCTACCTGTGTTTTTATTACTTAACTTTATCCTTGCAAATCTGAACGAAATCGCTGCCTATAAAGTGAGTCAAAACACATTTTTAAGATTAAAAAAATAAGAACAGCCAGACTGAATGTGGGACAAACGTTGAGAACTAAATAGTAAAGATTCTTCTCTCGACAAAGCAAACTACTGGAAAGATGAAATAAAGCTCATATGTTTCTTGACCAGCAGCTTTTACTTTACTCCAGTACCCATTAGAGCTGGGTGGACTCGGATTAGGGTTAGGATATCCAACAGTCAAAAGGACGAACCGAGATCCGAACTCGAACCTCCTGACGTTCTCCTATTAACCAATACCTCCCGAAAATAATAGGCTAAAGTTCAATTATTTAAAGTATGATTATTTGCTTTATTTTTTGTTCCCTGTGAGTTTAAAAGAAATCGCTACACAAGTAAGTCAAAACAGTTTCAAGATTTATCAGAAGAAAAAAAATACACACACAATTAAGAACGATGAAAAAAAAAACTAAGAATAACAAACAGATCGATGAAAAGACATGCGAAGTTAAATAAACTCAAGCTTACACCGATGAAATAAACAAGAAATACGTGAGTTAACATCAGTAAATACTGTTTTGTTTATACTGTTTTGTTTTACACAATAAGCTAGTCAAAATAGAGTTTTAAGATTTGACAGAAACAATCTTGTCAAAATAGAATTTCACTATTTGCCAGACAACAGAAAAGTAGACAGAGAATGACAGACATTGTGGGATAAATAATAGATCTAACAGTTGAAATACACAAGAATAACATAAATTTATACCATAAAATATTATGCAAAATACTATCGGGTCTCTGCTACTAAAAAGGGGATTAATATTTACATACGTTAATTTTGACTCTGCTTCTGGCGCCATTTCAAAAGGCTACGGTTGAATATTGGACGCGCATGAAAACACAGGCAATGACGCTTGACAAAAATTATAAAGAAAAAAAAAACGTTTTAAGTAGGACAAAAAAAAAACTATTTGTAAAGAGTAAAAAATGCAGGAAATAGTGTTGTTTAACAGGGTGTATAAGTCGTACTGTAATGCTGTTCATTTTCTGTAAAATCCATCTAGAGTTATTTAATTTAATACTCTGATATTTCATTTAAGAAAATAAAACAAAAGTAAAAGTCATTAATAATAAAAATAAAACAAAATTGCTTTCTCCAATATAAAGCTTTGGTTGCTAAAATGAGTTGCGAATGCTTTTATTTTAGAGTGCTATTGTTTTGTTGTTGTTTTCAGTAGGCCTACATTTAAAAACTTATTTTTATAAAATAAAAAAATAAATTAATTTTTTTCCACTTTTAAGTAATTTTTTTTTAAAGTACAGTTGACAACACATAGGCCAAGACTAAAGAAAACCCGATCAGTTGCTTGCAATCTCTTAGAGACAATTATCAGTTCCTTCTCTGTTCTTGTTTGATGCTCAGGCAAAATATATTTCAGCCGGTTATAAAACAGTTTAATGCGGGCCGCCAGCGCTAATACAGAGATGACAAGTATTTATTCTTGCTATCTCTCCTTTAAGAATTGAATTTAACCATTTAAAATTAAATAAAAATGACTACCGTATTGTCCAATTAAATTAAAACTAGATATTCGTGCACTGTCAGTGGAGTTGATTGTATCTGGACAGTTTGAAGGAAATTGCTGAATAAGTAGTAAAAAAAGTAAGTATAGTTCCCTTTTCAAACCTGACGGTCTATAGAGCAAGTGAAGTAGAGTTT